AAGCACAGGCGGAAGATGGAAAAGGTCCATCAAACAGGCTCCTGAAGGAGAGATGTTGAGACAGTTTCCGGATCCCACTGAAGTTGGCTGCGACAGCCAGCGACAGGAGTGAGGAGCGTGGCTGGTATGCCAATGCCAGCAGCTCAACCTGGACCACCAACCACCGTGGCAGTCCTGATGCAGTTTGCTGCCTTTTGCATGGTCTGGCAGCTCCCACAGCCAGGGAGATCACCACCAGTGCCCAAGGGGTTGACGTTGATCAGAAGTCTCCCTAGCTGCACCTGTACTGTGCAGGGTAGCCTCTGCATCCCCCAGCCCCAGCATGCCACTCCACGAGGGAGAACACAATGCTGCTGCCACTCCTCAGCTGTCACCACTGCAATTTGGGAGATGCTGTCTACCCACACTGTGGGTACTGTGAATGAACAGGGCATGCAGACCAAAATTTGGTGGCATAAGCTGCAGACACTGGTTCCCTGAACGTCTCCAAGGTTTTCAACATGGTTTCCCATAGCCTCCTCCTGTGGACTCATAGGAACTGCTATGGTCAAAGACTGGGCTCACATTAACCTTATGAAGTTCAGTTAAGACAAATGCAAAGTGTGGCACATGGAAAAACATAATCTAGGAGTGCCTCACAGGCTGGGATTGATCCAGCTGGAGAGCATCTCTGTGGAAGGGGCCCTGGGGGTGCTGGTGGACACCAAGCTCAGTCAAGTGACTAGGGTGCTTCCATGGCCAAGAGCCAGTGGGATGCTGGGCTGCATCAGCAAGGTCATCGCCGACAGAGATAGAGAAGTCAGCACCAGGAATACTGTGCTGAGTTTTGCACCCTGCTGTGCCACACAGATGTGGACAGATTGGAGAGGGTCCAGAGAAGGGCCACAAAGATGATCCAAGAGCTGGAAAGTTGCCGTACGATGAAAGGCTGAGTGACCTGAGTTTGTTCAGCCTTGAGAAGAGAAGGCTTAGAGGAGACCTTATTGCCATGTTCCACTTCTCCACAAGAAGATGAAGACTCCTTTTTTACGAGGAGTCACATGGAAAATATGTGGGGAAATGGGTACAAGTGACTCCTGTGGAGATTCCAGATGGCCACAGGAGGAAAATTTTTCAATCAGTCATTGGAATAATCTTCCCAGGGAAGAACTAGATTCCTCAAATGCTGGGCACTTTTAGGATTTGGCTGGACAGAGTGCTGGACTCTCTTGTCTAGACAGTGCTTTTGCCAAGAATGGTTGGACCAGATGATCCTTGATGTCCCTTCCAGCCTGATGTTCTAGGATTCTGTATGAAAAAGGCAGTTGGTGAAACAGCAAAAATGTTGTATCTCTGTATATGCTTGTATTTTATGGTTCTGCCTTAAATGTTCTGACACACTGGAGATGGAACAAAATTAAACAGCCAAGATTTTACTTTTAAGGAAAAGCAGTGTAACTCTTTGCTAATTGTCATAATTAATTTGTGTCATTTAAACATTAATTATTTAACCTGCAGTAAACTCAACAATCTACAGTACCACTCCCCTGATGCTGTGCTTATCACAGAGATGCCCTTATTAAGCAAGGTGGAAAAATCTCCCTGCACGTACTTGTGTTATTTCAAAACCTGCTTTCATTTAGTGGGTCACTTTTTGGGCTGCATCACAGAAATTCTTCCAAACATTTCTTGAGCTCGAGAGCCTGTTCCTGCAGGCTCGGTTGTGACAAAGACGCTAGCAGCAGCTGAGATTGATTCATGTCCCTTCCATCTAATGAGATAACTGCTCCAGGGAAAAGAATATTTTTTTTTTAAAAGTAACACATATATTGTTAGTATTTAACTTTATGTTTGTGTAAGTATATATGGAGAGAGAGAGAGAGAGAGAGAGAGAGAGAGAGAAAGATGGCTAAAATGTGGCAAATAATTTTTGAAGACTACTGTATCTGCGGTTCACTCTCTGTTCCCAACAGTCAGCTGTTGGCAAAACAGTGGTTTGCATGAATCAGTAATGGTGGTCTGAGAATAAATGCCTGGTATGGCAGACATGGGCCTTGCCTCTCTCTGTTTGCTTGGTGGTGCAGAAGCCAAGGGCAGGGGATGTGACTCTGACCACACTGCAAAGCTGCAGTGAAGGGGAAATTTTTGACACCTTTTTATATATAAAAGCAGTTATAGATTGAAACTGAATTTCATTTGCAAGCAGAGATCATTTCTGAAGAACTGTGTGAAAAAGCCCTACTGGGGAAAATCCTGAACACGTTGAGAGACCCCATCTTGAGACTTTTTGACTTTTCAGTTCAAAATCATTTTAGTGCTTAAATGTAAATTAATCATCTTACATAAAATCAGAGAATCACAAATTCAATTACGTTGGAAAAACCCTCTAAGATCATTACTCTACCACTGCCGAGATCACAGCTAAACCATGTCCACATGTCTTTTAAATCCCACTAGGGCTGATAACTCCTGGATAGCCTGTTCCAGTGTCTGACAGCCCTTTCAGAAAGGAATTTTTTCCTAATATCCAATCTAAACCTCCTTTGATACATCCGGAGGCTGTTTCCTTTCGTCCTATCACAAAATCACAGACTGTTTCTGATAGGAAGGGAGCTTAAAGCTCATCTTGTTCCACCCCTTGCCATGGGCAGGGACACCTCCCACTAGCCCAGGTTACTCCAAGCTGCATCCAGCCTGGGCTTGAACACTTCCAGGGATCCAGAGGCAGCCACAGCTTCTCTGGGCAACCTGTGCCAGGGCCTCCCCACCCTCACAGGGAAGAATTTCTTCCCAATATCCAATCTAACCCTGTTCTCTGTGAGTGTGAAGACATCACCCCTTGTCCTGTCATTCATTTATCTATCTATCTATCTATCTATCTATCTATCTATCTATCTATCTATCTATCTATCTATCTATCTATCATTTGCATTTAGAAGTATTTAAAAGTAAATGAGCCATCACTCCTCATGAGTGACCAAGCCTGAGTACCAGTCCCTTCTTGCCCACCAGGTGCTCCTGTTAGTTAGGTAAAAGACAAGCACTTTTCCTTTAAAAAGACTTACAGAATCTCCAGGAGAGGTTCATTACAATTTTTCAGGGTGTTACTTCCCCATAGCTACTTGACTTTAATCCTTTTGAGAAGAAAAGCAGCCCACTCAAGATGCACACTGGCTGAAATTTTTCTTCCTTACATATGTAGGGGTGTGTATACATAAACATTTACACATAGCCATGGGTTCTTCGCAGAACCACACAGAACCACAACCACTTCCCCACCCCAGTTAAAGCCAGTGCTGACAAGACAAAACAACGCAGCTTTTGCAAAAATGACTGGATTGCACCATGTTGCTTCTAGGGAAAATCTCTGAAAGAGACCATTTTTTCAGATAAAAAGAAAAAAAAAGAAAGAAAACTTGTAATGAGTACCTCTGCTGCCACTGCAGAAGGGTAGTGGCTAGGGGCTTGGACAGAGAGGTTGTTACCCCTCACAGTAGGAAATGAGGTGTCCCTCCACCATCATCCATGCCAACTTTCCTCTCCCTGAACAAAATGTGGCAGCCAAGGACGGAGGGTCTGCTCTGCTACCACCAGTGGGATGAACCAGAAACACACTGCTGGCACCCTGCAACCCGGCATCATCCCCCTGGTGCCCACCTGCACCAGCTGAACCTCTCAAATGCTGCCAACTCCTGTACACGAGTTTGCCCTGTACCTAGCTCTCGAGAAGGCACACAGAGCCCAGGGGCTACACACCAACTCTAGTGTATTCCATGCCACTGGAATGCGGGCACCAGTCGTTACCATAACATGCTCGATTGTTCTCAGCAGTGCTCCAACAAATAAAGCCATTAATTATAGCCTTTCCCTCAGCCACTGTTGGCTGGAGCAGCAATCAATGTGCAACCCCTCATTGCCTGCTCTCGGGGAGCAGAGACAGATGCCATAAAAATGATCCGCAGCCCACGCCGATCCCCGCCGGCGGGCTGTGCCCAGGAATGGCCACCACGCTGCTTTGACACACGATGCTGTATTTATTTGGCCTGCCACAGCCATGGGGGAAGGTATCCCATTAGGCAATTATTTTTATCTTATAACGTCAATTTACTTATACTGATTGGCTTCCTGCCGCCAAATATCAATTAAATTGCAAATGCCTGCTGAAGCTTATTTTATGTCTCTTTCTCTTTCCCCCATTTCCCTTCTTTTTTTCTCTCTCCCCTTTTTTACTTAAAGGGAGAGAGAGAGAACCCTGTGTTCGAACATAATTTAGTTTATTTCCCTTTCCATATCTCAAAGGAAAATCTATATCTCCCTCTAGAAGGCCATTTGCCCTCTGTTATTGAGAGCTGAGGTATCACAGTAGTGGGCAATTTGTTTCAACCAGCTATCGGCAGCCCATCAGGACTCCTCAGGACCTCTGCCATCTCAATGCAATTGTATCTGGTATTGCCACTTATGATTTGTTTCTAACAGTACCACCAGATGAACAGATTTTGGATCTCACAGGATGTGCCCACCTAATTCCCTCCTGCCGCAGCCACATCCTGTCCCACAATGCCCATTATCTGCTGATGGAGATCTCTGCTTGTCCCACTGGCAGAGACCCTTGTTGGCTCAGGCTGCTGCTCCCTGACAGTTGTGTCTCAGGAGGTGACAGAGTGGTTGGAGCTGCTGGAGGTTGTAAGCTGTTCCAATGATAAACTGATGCACAAGCAGGCTTGGACACATGGTGAGCACAGGGAACATGAACCTGTCCAGCAGCTTCAAGTGGGTAGTGCTCACTTTGTCATGGGGATGGGGGCTATACCTGTGCACACTCATCACCCAAGCAGCACTCAGTCACCTCTGACCTAGGGAAAAATCTAACCAAGGCATGGCATCTGCTGGTGCCTGCACCAACGCAATATGTAAGACACCAGCCCCTCACTGCTGCAACCTTCCAGAACCAGTGAAGATGACCAGCACAAAACCCTAAAGCATCATACTTCACAAGCAAACACATAACCCATCACAACATCCTAGTGCCTGTAGAGCCCCTCTGCCTGTGCCTGCAGGGAAAGGGAAAGGGGGTGGTACTCCTTCACACTAATGGGGCTGGAGGGCTTGAGATGAGCTTCGCTGATCGAACTGAACATCCCCAGCAGCCAGAGACCAACAGCGGCAGTGTAATCTGGAGGGGGACTAGGAGCGTAAAGAGGACCAGAACTGCAATCAGGATGAACAAGTGAATACCAACCAGTGATTAAGAGGTGAAATCCCTCAGGTGCAGAGCACACCTGACGCAGGGAGACAGCAGTGGATCAAACCCCTCCAGCCCTGCTGGCACCAGCTCCGACTTTCTAGAGCACCTAGAGAGGGAAAAGCCGGGCAGAGCACAAACCCAGGGAAAATCAGCTACATTTTCTCTGGAGGCAGAGGAAGACCTTATGCCCATATCTCCATCACTCCCCACTGCTGTGCACACATGCTGGGCCCGTGAGGGGGTGCGGAGCACGAGGCACACGGGGGTGCAGAGGGAGAGCCCACACCTTGCCACACATGCACCTTCCTCCAGCTGAGCACTGAACACACAGTAACGTAGTAAAGATCTCCTATGAGCTAAGTCATACCTGTTACATACTATCTGCAATGTATTCAAAAGTTCTTTGGCACCTTATAAAAATGCAGGTGAGTTTATTCTGGGCTTGCCAGCTACCAAGGCGACTGTCATGGTGTTGGCACTTATATCCACAGGTTTGGCTAAAGCTGGTTTAAAAACCTAGCCCCACGTCTTTGAACACTGTGACCCAAAGGGAAGAGAACCAGCTACAGTGAGCACATCAGTGTACATGTACATACCTATGACTGTCTCTTCTTGTATATACACACATATATATTATATGTATATGCATGCATAGTAACAATCTGTATTCCATCTGTCCATCCATATAACTATTACCTATGTAGAGATGCTCATAAAAAAAAAATCAGGGGTAATAGGAAAGACCTCTGCACCCTTTGCAATGGTGATTATTGACTGGTTCATTCTGTGCCTGATGGAGATAGCATGATTGCCTGGGATGTACCTTGCAGGTTTCTAAACAGAAGGCTCCGGAATCAATTTTGTGGTAACTGGTTAGATGTGACCAGCTTACAAACTCAGCATGGGTGTCAGGAAGCAAATTCAAGCAGCGCCATTACGGTTTTTTTAAATATCAGAGGTGAGGAAAGCCTCCCAGTTGGCAAGCCACAGGACAGAGCAGGGATTAATGATTTTGGCTTGGTTTTGTCTCCAAGGTGACAAATGGGTGCACAGCAGGCATGCTGCCATGGCTGGTGGTAGAAGGCGATGCTGAAACTCACAGTTTGCACAGGAAGATTTGTCTCTCCTGAAGTGAGGACAGTGCTGACAGCTTCCACTGAGCAGGACCTGATTAGCTGGAGATCACCACTTCCTTTGCTGTCCTAGGGGTCTGCTCTGCATGGCAGCCGCATGCTGAGGACAGCCCCCAACCCCTGCCCAACTTCCTCTACCCATCACTGCCACCACACCAGCTCCTCTCACAGCCTCTGTAGGAAGTGGTGGTCTTCAAGAGAGGAGCAGAACAGAGGATGTGAGCATCTCGGAAAGCTTGACAAGAACTTGTCCTTGGTGGCCTATATCAGGCAGAGACTCCAGCCCCAGTGGGGGGTAGGGGAACACGTGGATACCCCAGTGCCAAACAAGTTTTTCACTTCACTGATCGGTGGAGTGACACCACTTTCACACTCCAGAGACAAATTACTGGCTCGAGGGCTACATTTTCATCCATGACATTCTAGGAGGAAACGTTCTCAGGGACTTGCCTCAGCTGTGACAAGGCTCTGAAAGTGTGTCCTGGTGTGTGGGAACAAGACCAAGAAGCTTCAGAGGTTTTCACTGATTTGACACACTGGACACTAACTTCACAAGGAAGCATGGACAGATTTCAGCATCTCCTCATCCTCACATCCCTTTAAAGTAAACTGACCCCATAAGATGCTATGGTGGTCAAACCATCAGGCACCAAATGACTCCACAACAAGGACCACTTGGGTGTAAGAGAGGGAGAGCAGGTAAACCAAACACTTCTGCCAACTCAAAGCCACAAACTTAAACAATTCCAAAATTACCTTCCCTGGATTCAGGCATGCCTATAATTATGTTCCTCCCATTTCTGAGCACCTGCAACAGTCCTGGGCCACTCTCCACCCTACCTTCCTAGGCCATGATGGATGAGGACTGTTCTTTGTCCCCCCACTGGGGCTAGGCAGGAAAAGTCAGGCTCTACTGTGCCACAAAACCTTGCTTTCCAGAAATGCCACCTCCTGTGTCCTTCTGCCTTGGGGGAAACCCAGGCAAGAATGGGGAAAGAATTCTCGGGGAAGCAACTGGCAATCCAAGGAATCATAGAAGGAAAAGCCCACTACATGACTATTTCTTATTAGTTGACTTATAGACAAAAAAGTCAGGCACTGTCAAGCATGAAATCTTATTGGGACAATAGAGATGGAATTGCCACAGCTGACAGCAATGTTTACAAGGGCATCATCTGTCGATGCTGCACAGCATGAAACCAGCAGCCCCGTCTAACTCTGTGAATTGTAACAAGAGACAAAATGTCCCACTTGGGACAGGTAGGAATTGTACCACCAAAAATAACCGCTCAGGTGTAAAATCCATTAGAGGTGCATGGAAAGAAATCCAGAGGAGCCTGGTTGACACAGAGGGAGGCTCCTGAGCCCTCTCCAGCCACAGGAGATAGCAAATATGATCTCAGAGAGATCTCTGAGAAATTACTTGCCAGTGGGTTTGGTAGCTTGCCTTCACCTCCAGCCCAGGAGAGTTTGAGTAAGGGGACCAGGAATGCACTCATCCCCACTCTGTAGACTCTGACCCCCAACCGGCGAGTATCGCTGAAGGGTTTCCAGTCAACATACAAAATATCAGGCACTCTGAGGCCTGATATGAGGCTGCTGAGAAACCAGTACTACTTCTGAAGGGTGTGAGTGTTTTAAAAGTCTCCACCACCAAATCTGTCTAACTCAAAGGAACCATATTCAGGGTAGACTGAATATGGTTAGGTCCAACATGCACCTAACCAACGCTTTGTTGTGAGACCTTCCAAAGAATGGTCTGACACATAAATGTCCCAGAGACAGCAGCTACAGAAAACTATTGCAAGGTAAGTGAGACTAGAAGGAATACCTCAACAACAAAGTTCAACAGTAACTGCTCAGAGTGATAAGGGGCAAGACTAAATTGTGTTTAGCCAGTATAAGACATTCTGGTGTCTTCACTTGAAATGCTTAGTGACCACAAAGCCTTTGATATGCACACTTGTGCACCAACTGCTCGCAGCTTCTCTCTCAGGGTTGTGCCTTGTCTCTCTCAATACACACTAAAACATGAGGAGATACACCATAACCATTAGATGCGGTGGTATGCAGGCAAAACCAGCGGCCGCTCCCACATAACTATGTGACAGCCCACCAGGCAAAACCCAGCACCCCACCAATTACTGCTGCAATGAGGAGAAACGACACTGCTGTCTGAGATGATCACCATTCGACCAAAGCTGTTCTTACAGATGTCTTCTTACTGAAACTTTACTTTCTTTATTTTTTTTTGATTGTAAGTTGATGTGACTCATGTAAAGCACCTGAAAGAAGCACCTTCCCTCGAGATCATTACCACAGGAGCAGCATCTGTAGCCTTTGGCTTGCTCTGTTCATCAGAATCTCTGAAGTCCTGGTCTATTGCAAAATGTCCCTGCCCATGACAGGGGGGTCAGACTAGATGGCCTTTAAAGGTCCCTTCCAACCCAAACCATTCTTTGATTCTATGACTCTAAGTCCTATGAGAGACATCTTTTTACTGGCTTTGTGCCTGTTTACAAGATGTTGGAGTACCACAATGACAGGGTTGCTGGAAGTTTCTGAACAAACAAAGCTCTGGTGAGAGCCGCGCATCCCTACCCAGCCCATGATTAAAGAAATTCAGAGAGCAGTGGCTGCAGATGGTTTGTTGTGGCAGCACCCCACTACAGAGCTACAGGGAAGCAGTTTTATGAAGATGGAATGCCTATGTGATAAGAAAGCTGTTGCATTTCACTGATGTTAGTCCCTGATTTCCAGTCAGTCCCGGATACTGAGATCAGCCAGATCAGCTAGATAGGAGATTTTAACTGGATTTCCTTTCAACACAAGGGCACCTCAAGATTTTCCCAACTTAGTCTTCCTTTTCCATCTGCAAAGTCTGCTCAAGTAAAACAAGAATAAGAAGAGGGATTTGGCTATTTGCAGCATATATGAATGTCCCAAAGCTCCTGCTGATTGCTGATGATGACTGTTGTGCTCTGCCTGGGCTGCTGGATGTCTGGGACCCCAGAGAGCCACTGGACAGGCACAGGTTGCCCATGCCTCAGGATGTGCATGCATACAGCCTAAGTACTGGGGGTGATGGCATGTTGCCATGTCCTGCACACACACTGGCTACACTTGAGCCAGTTCATATACTCTTAAAAACATATCTTCCCTTGTGTTCCCAGAGCAAGACCTGTCCCGGGATTGGTTCTCCACCAGAGCACTCAGCAAATGCTGCCTTTGTAAGCACTACAGCTCTCTGAGCTCTCTTGTGTTCTCATCGCTATACCATGAGAAATTTATGAAGGGGTTTTTCTTGACTTCTGGCACATCCAGGAAATACAGACAGCCTGCAGGTATGAGTCCAGTGCTCCTGAAGACTCAATATGACCAGCTATTCACGTAACTAGCTAAAAACCACACAAAGTGCAAAATGCAGTCACCATGTTTGGTGTAAGTAAACCCAAATGGGACTATTCTGCAAACACCATGACAGGCCAAAATGGGCAGGATTCAATCAATACTGCACAACCACCTCTAGCAATGAACAACCCTCATGCAAACAGTACACACAAAGACCATGGCAGACAAAAACTGAACTGAAGAAAGCCTCTTGTCTCAAGACACCTCCATTTTCTGCGTCTCACTGATTTTGCACTGTCTGCTTATAAGGAACTTCCTGGTTGGCAGCAACAGCAATTACAGCTTAAAATATAAACTCCAGAGCTTCCCAAAGCACCAACAGAGAAAAAGTGGTTTTCCACTATCATTTAGGATTTCAGGAGGCTGTCATTTCAGCCAAAGAAA